CAGCAGGGTCTCCCACAAGGTATTCCTCTGCGTGTCCCCCTGTTTCCCACCCTAGAAGCCTCCCAATAGGGGTTCTCCTCACCCCTGGAATGAGGCTGTGGCGACTGGGGCGGGGACAGCAATTGATGGCGGCTCCATCTTCTGTGCGTGTATGGGGAGGTGTCCCGAGTCCCCAACGGGCTCCTGAGAGCCAGCCCCCAAACTCTCCTGTCCATCTAAAGCGGGAAGGTGTTGACAGAGAAGACCTTGGGGGGCTGTACCGCCTGTGCTTTTCCCCCACGTCGTGTAGCACATGCTTATTTATATTTCCAGTAGGCGAGAAACTCCCTAATTCGCGAATGAATTTAGGCTTATATCCGAAACGGGAGTGTAATTTGAAGCCAGGTGGACGTCTCATGCATATCTGATCCCGTTGGAGGGCAGAGGAGGGCAGAGAACCCGTTGCGCGGGCGGACTGCAGAAGTCAGATCTCTAAATATTGCTTATCAGCTATGCTTGCGTAGAATTAATTAAAGAAGGAGAAGGAGAAGGAGAAGACCATTCGGATGCCCTTTGGGACTAGCCTTCAGTCTCCAGAAAGCTTTTAGTGCTTTGTCTGCCGAGATGGTTAAGTATCTATAGGAGGTGCTATTCATGTTGGTGACAACGACAAGGGGATATAACAGGAGCAGAAGCTTACAGACTCTCATATGTAGATAAGGTGATAACAGGTAACATTTTCACTCTCTTGTGCAAAGCACTCACAGCTCTCGACAGTTGATGTGCATGTGTCAGTTAATATTCACAAGCCGGATGCGGTGGCTCACGCCTGTAATCCCAGCTCTTTGGGAGTCCCAGGCAGGTGGATCACTTGAGGCCAGGAGTTCGAGACCAGCTTGGTCAACATGGCGAAACCCCGTCTCTACTAAAAGTACAAAAATTAGCCAGGCGTGACAGCACGCACCTGTAATCCCAGCTACTCGGGAGGCTGAGACATGAGAACCCCTTGAACCGGGGAGGCAGAGGTTGCCGAGCCAAGATCACGCCACTGAACTCCAGCCTGGACGACAGAGTCAGACTCCGCTCAAAAAATAAAAAATTAATTAAAAATTAAATTTTTAAAAAAATTTAAAAAAATTTTTTTTTAGACTTAGAGAAAACCTACAACAACCCTATTAGGTGAAATTGTGATTGTTGTGGATTGACAGATGAAAACAAGGTCAGAGACATTTAAAAAACTTCTCTGCCCAGGCTTATGCAGATGGTGGGCATAAGTCTTATTTGCAGTCGGTGTTTGCATTTGAGGCTAATAATGTGACCTTTGTTTCTTTATCTTGTAGGTGAGCCCCAGTTGAAAACTGTGCAGGGAGTTGTCACAAGTTTCTGTGGTGATTATGGTGTGATTGATGAGTCGATCTACTTCAGTTGTGATGTTGTGACTGGCAATGAGCCTCTAAAAGTTGGACAGAGAGTTAATGCGGTTGTGGAAGAAGATAAAACACTTTATGGATTGAGAGCAATCAAGGTGAGATGTGCATGAGCTTGGGAATGGTGTCTTATCCCAATGGGCTTTCTTTCTCCATCTTTCTTTTCTCGTATTAATCCAGCATCTCTACTGTGACCCGTAGAGTGGATGTAGACTGCAATTTAAGTCCCACTCCTGTGAAGCTGTAGGTTCTTCTGTTCTAATATTTGTAGTGATTTCTGCTTTAAAACATAAAAATTACTTATCTATTCTTCTAGTCTTTAAACAATATGGGTAACAATAACAATCACTGAACTCTATATAATCCTGCAACTTCCTTTATCAGGGACAAAAAGCATTTTCTGAGGCGTGCATTCATAGCGATGGAATTGCTATGTCAAACCATGTGCCTTGTAAACATTTTAAAAAGAGCTTCATGCAGGTATAATTCACAAACCACAAAACTCTCTTAAGGGTACAATTCAATAGCATTTTCCAGATTATGTGACTTATATCTCAATAAGGCTGTAAAAGAATGAAAGACATAAAGCAAAGCAGAAAGATGGTACCAGAGGAAATACTACAAGGGCTTCCATAAACAAACTTTCCTATTAAAAATATCTACGAATTAGATTAGACCTAATTAGAATTAGACCTTCATATTTGCTTCATATATTTAGGTGCTGCTATGTTGGGTGCATATTTATGGAAATCATTATATCCCCTTGATGAATTGACCCCTTCATCATTATATAATGATCTTCTTGGTCTCTTTTTCCAGGTTGTGGTTTAAAGTCTATTTTATTTGAAATCAGTTGAGCTGCTCCTGCTCTCTTTTGGTTTCCCTTTACGTGGAAGAATAACTTTTTTCATGCCTTCACTTTCAGTTTACAACGTCCTTTAGGGAGAAGTGGGTCTGTCACAGTTTTGTTGTTGTTGTTTAATCCATTCAGCTACTCTGCGTATTTTAGTTGGGAATGTTGTCATTTAGGTAATTGTTTTCTACTCAGTTTGCAGGTAATTTCTTCCTTTCTTCCTCTTTTACCGTCTTCCTTGATGGATAAGAGATTTTTCTCTATTAGTATGTTTTGTTTTCTTGATTTTTTAAATGTGTCTATTACAGGGTTTTTTCCTTTGTGTTTAGCGTGAGGCTTACAAAAACATAATCACGACAGTTTATTTTACTGATAACATAACTTTGGTCACAAAATACAAACACTCTACCATTTAACTCCACCCCCGGATTTTGAGTTTTCTATTTTACACTTTACAACTTTTTAATATTTTATATCCCTTAACAAACCATTGTACTTATTTTATTTTTAAACTTTAAAACAGTTCTTTAACTGTTACATGAAAGATATAAGTGATCTGGACACCACCGTCACCTTATTAGAGTATTCTGAATTTGTGTAGTTACTTTTACTAGTGAGTTTTACACCTTCAGATGCTTTTGCATTACTCATTAGCATCCCTTATGTCAGCTAGAAGAACTCTCCTTAGCGTTTCTTGTAAGACAGTTGTGGTGGTGAGGAAGTTTCTCCGTAGAAGTCTTTATCTCTCCTTCACTTCCGGGTACATTATTCTTGGCTAGAGATTTTTTTTTTCCCCTCAGCTCTTTGAATATGTCATCCCACTCTCTCCCGGCCTGTTACGCTTGTGCTGAGAAGCCTTCTGGTATATTGGAGGCACATTGGAACTGCCTTGTATGTGATTCGCTCCTTTCCTCTTGCTGCTCTCGGGGTTCTTTCTTTCTCTTTCGTCTTTGACAGTTTGATTACAATCGGTCTTTTGTTTGTTTGTTTGTTTTGTTTTAAGACAGAGTTTCGCTCCTGTTGCCCAGGCTGGAGTGCAATGGCGCGATCTCGGCTCACCGCAGTCTCCACCTCCCGGGTTCAAGCGATTCTCCTGCCTCAGCCCCCCGAGTAGCTGGGATTATTGCCACCACGCCCGGCTAATTTTGTACTTTTAGTAGAGACGGGGTTTCTCCATGTTGGTCAGGCTAGTCTCGAACTCCTGACCTCGGGTGACCCGCTCACCTCGGCCTCCCAAAGTTCTGGGATGACAGGCGTGAGCCACCGCGCCCAGCCCCAGTATGTCCTGGGGTAATCTTATTTGAATTGTATCTGAATGCAGAACTTTGGTCTTCCAGTACCTAGATGTTTGTAACTTTCTCTGGGTTTGGATGGCTCTCCATTATTGTCTTTTAAATAGTCTTTCTACCTCTTTATCAATCTCTCCTCCCTCTTGAATGTGAATGACTCATACTATTGCTCTTCTGATATTGTCCCAGAAATCCAGTAAGTTTCTTTTTTCATTCCATGTCCTTCCTTTTACTTTTGTCTCCTCTGACTGTATATTTTCAATGAACCCGTCTCCAAGTTTACAGATTCTTTATTTTGCTCAATCAGTTGTCCTGTCGATGTTCTCTATCGTGTACTTCCTTCATTGTATTTTTCGACCTCAGAATTTGTTTGTTTGTTTTAAATTCTTTCAATCTTTCTCTCAAATTACCCTGGTCAATTCTGAATCATTTCTCTGTAATTGTTTTCGAGGTTCACAGAGCATGCTGAAAATAGATATTTTGAATTATTTTTTAAACAACTCATACATTCCTATCTCTCTAGGGTCAATTACTGGCGCCTTGTTTTGTCAGTTTGGTGATGTCCTGGTTTCCTGATTGTTCTTGATCTTTGTGGTCATGTGTTTATATCTGCATATTGAAGAAGTAGGTATTTATTTCAGTCTTTGCAGTCTAGCTTTCTGGGGACATCCTTTAATACTAAGCCTATCCAAAAACTCTATATAGGTCTCTTTTGGTCCTTATGCTCGTGAACACTGCAGCTACTGAAGCACTAGGGGGCTTCCTAATCCCAGGGACACAGCGACAGATGCTGCAACGGCGTGCACTCCCTTAGCTATTGAGGCTGGTGCCTTGCGAGACTGGAATCCAAGCCTCTATTCACTGAGGACTCCCTGTTGCTGTAGACTGTTGTGAGCATAAGGCCACTGGAATCACTCGGCAGAGATGTGGGCCAGGTATTGAGTTTGTTTTGCTGTGGCGGTGGCTTCCTGTCTGGTGCCAGGGTGGGTCTAGAGACTTGGTCCATAAGTACCATCTCGGAGTCAGGGGCCATGGACGTCTGTCAAGTGACGGCGTATGGTGTGGCAGGCCTGATACTGGGTTCCCAGGCAATGTCCTATGCCTGCTACTCTCTCTCTTCTCCGGGTGGATGGTATCTCTCTCCATGCTGTGCTGTGGAAGGTTGGGGAAGGGGTGATAGGGGTAATGTAAAACTTTCCCTACTGCCCTCTTCAATGCATCTTGTCTTATTATCATGCTATAGCTGGGTACCGTGGTCTCTCACCTGGTTTCCTTCTCTCAAGTGAAGGTGTTTTCATACAAGGATAGTCTTTCACATTGATGTTTCTGCAGGAGGACGATCTCTGGAGAGTCCCGTTTCTCCATGTTGCTCCCCTCCTCCTCCATCTGTTTAATTTTTACATACTATAAATATGTCCATTTTGTCCATACGGCCTCTGGGCTAGGGAAGTATCCTTAGGCCAATTGTAATACGTAATTTACACAAGTATTCGCTTAGATTTTCTTCTGAAAGTCATTCATTTATCTACATCCAAACATAACAGTCAGCCTGGGTTTGCTTTCTGGGTGTGGGACTCAGAGAAGGCTCCGCGTCTTGTTTCACTACTGGCTACCCAGTTGTCCCTCCACATTAATTGGATAATCCACTTTGCCCCTACTGCATTGAAATGCCACTTCTGTCACACAACGCGTCATCGCACACATTTGAATCTATCTGTGCCTGCTGTTGTGTTGGTGATATTTGCAAGGCATAAGAAACAGAGTTGGGATCCATGAAACTTGGGCAAAGCTTTAGTCTGCAGTATGTCTGTGAGTTGGTGTGAATGGAGTCAAGGAACAGAGAGGTCCGAGGGTGCTGTGGATCATCCACTTGGATACTGACAGAAGTGGTGGTTGATACGTGGACAGGAGGCTGGTGCCTCATTCCTTCATGACAGCAAGTGAGGGGAAAATGGGGAAAATAAACATCAGATTGGTATTGACAGCTGGAAAGACGCCAGTTCAGAAATGAGAATAGCAACAAACTAGGCTGTTTTTAGAACCATGAAAAATTATTTACAACTTAGTGGCTCAAGTTTCCATCAGAAGTCTTTGAACAACAAATTTCAACCCTAGGAGTCTATCCTATAGTTAAGTCAGGCAAGTAGTCCAAATGTTAGGACACAAGCGAAATATCTAATTATGTGGAATTGGGTTAGGAAATTACGGCACATCCATTATTTGGGATTCCCTATGACTCTTTCTGTCCTCCCTTGTTATTTAAAAGCTTTTGCGTTCATTTAATGTGATCCTTTAATACTGAATGCAATGTTAATTTGCTTTTATAACAGGCATATGTGTGTGTGTGTGTGTGTGTGTGTGTGTGTGTGTGTGTGTGTGTGTATATATATATATATATATATGTATATGTGCACAGACAAAAACATCACGATCGATGTTACTCCCAAAATATAGTTCCAAGAGACCACCAGGAATACGGATTGTGGGATAACCGCCTTTTGCTGTCTGCTTATCTGGGTTTTTTTTCTACTTCTAGTGTAATGAACTTGCATTATTTGTAAGTTTTAAGGATTATAAAATGAGGACTATTACACTTTCAATAAGGAAAAAGGTTTTATGCCTCTCTATTGTAGATAAATTGAAACCCTAATTTGACTTGGATTTTTGAACCTTTCCCCGTTGAGGTTATTGTTCCAACTTTATTTCGTGCTTCTGTCTCCTGGGCCTGGATCTTGAAGTTAGGGTTTTGCTCCCTAGGCTCCTAACTTGTGTCGCTTTTCCTGTCTGTCTCCCTGCTCCTCTACCCGTTTACCAGGTTACACCTCTGTCTTCTTTCACAACCCAGCACACATCTGACTTCCCCCAAGCAAATGTCCCTACTTCCTCCCCGTCTGAAATGTTCTCCCTCTAGATAATTCACAAATCCATCTTTGAACTAGTTTTACATCCTTCATTGCAACCTGCTTATGACTAGATATCGGTCTGCTTTACCGTCATTTCACTGTGAATTCCTACAGGCGAAGGATGGTATGTTTCTAATCTTGTGTTCTCATGGTACAAGGGCATTAAACTTGGGTACGCAATCAATGTTTTGGGATACATTTCACAATTCATGAAGCACACACATGATTTTTACCACCATCTCAAGTCTATGGTCCATTTACCACGTGAAATATACTCATCAGTGTTTAAGATGGTTGTCGAAAATATTTTTGGATACCGGTGTTTTAATCATGTAAGTTCCCGTGTTTAAATTTGTATTATTTTTGAAGTAACTCTTTCCTAAATCTTACAGGTGGACATTGTGCCTTACGATGCTGGACCCTCAGACGCAGGAACCAAACTTTTAGTTGGATGTGTCACTTCTATAAGTGAGGATACTGTTTATATTAGTGACGACATTAATTTCTCCCTAGACATTATTTCTGAAGGTATGATTTACGTTTTGAGATACATGATGCAATTCTTAATTTTTTGAGAGGATTTTAGTCCTAGAACAACTTTTACAGTGTACTTGGCTTCAGTCAACGGCTCTTCAATATTAGAGGTAGACCCTTCCAATTGAAATTATGTACAATACAGGGCAAATAGGCAGGATTATAAACTATCGGCTGCCGTCTATTGCGTGTTCATCTGTTCAATGCCCTCAGTATGTCTGGATATAATTTTTATTCACATAAGAATTTAATTTCTAATCAAGAACACAATCCTGCAAGTACACAGAGACACTATTTTTAATACCCTTACGAGACTATACTTGCAGGGATCATTTCTGTGGTTGGTTACTAGGGAAGTTTCTGTGACAGGATAGAGTACCAAATTTTAAAAGAATACACTTCAAATGCTTCAAACGTAGAACTGGAGATAGCGCCCTGTGGCTGCTTGCATGTGTGGGTGGGGGCGGTGGGGAGTAGGGTGGAGTTGAACTTTCTCTGTAATCAGCAGATATGTTCTAATATTTAGCTTATACCGAAAGATACCCCCCCCCCCTTTTTTTTTTCTATTTTTGTCTATTGCAGCTGTCGTACAGCTTGGGCATAAAAAGCTGTCGTACAACCCAGGCAGCTTGCTAGTTTGTTTTCTTGGGTGCAAAAGCAGGACTCTGGCCTGAATGTTGTTTTAAGATGTTGACTCTGTCGAGAAGAGACTATGAGGGGAAGGATGGAGCCAGGAAATCAGTCAGGAAAGCGTTGTAACATTCCTGGTGAAAGATGTTGGACATGTGAATGAAAGTATAGAAGTGGAGGACCTGAGGATTGAGTGGACTCTGGATATATTTTGAAGCTAGAGAAGAACGCAGGAGGTAATGGATTAGCTCTTTGGTGTGGAAGAAAGATGAGTCCAGGGTACCTCCCAAGTTTTTGGTTTGAGCAGTGGTGAGGGTGGAGTTGCCAGTTTGTGATGTAGACGACTGAGGCAAACAAAAGGTGGTGAATACGGAGAATACCAACAACTCAGCTTTATACACGTTAGATTGGTGTAAGTATATGGATAACTGAACGTGGGGTTGGTTAGAGCTGGAGGCATATACATTTTGGAGCTATCAGAACATAGATATATGGTAAACCCACACAAAGGCAATGTATGTAAATTAACAGATAGATAGATAGAGAGAGAGAGAGAGAGGTCTAACACTGTGCTTGTGTCATTCTACAATGCTGAGTCCTAAGGTGAAGGAATGTTTCACTGTGTTGATATTGCTAGTTTTCTGGAGTCACTGTGGCAATTTACTGTGTCACTTGCAGTTGGGATTTCCATTTGCTCCAGATTCTTCCATTTACATTTGTTATCCTGTGACTCACTTTTAACTTACTGTAAACTTCAGTTTGAAACTCCATGGTCTTAACTGTAACATGTAAGGCACATACTTAAGAGTTCATCAGCTGAGCAGAGCACCAGGGGAAATCGATCCATTCTGAAAGTAACAACATTTCTTAGTGGTACTGCTACCACTGCTACAAATCAACAGTTATTTCGTGGTTACTCTGCAGCCAGCGATGATTCTGTGTGTATCACACATGGCAATTAATTCTCACTCACAATTAATTCAACTCTGCATCATGAAGGCTGTTTGTCGTCCTTCTCATTTTATAGTTGAAGAAAACGAGGCACAGAGAGGTTAAGCACCTTGGCCAAGGTTGCAAACTGAGTGAGTGGCAGCGTCAAGATTCGGACACACGTAGCCAGGTTCAAACCTGTGCTCTTACCTACATGTTTGACTGCCTCTCACTAAGGAGATGTGAACGCCAACAGTTGTGCAGTAAATCCCATGCCGCACCCTTAGACTGGCTGTGATGCACGGTTCACACTTTCCTCCACTTGACTTTGTTATATCAGTAGAGGAGAATCAATGCCTAAGGATTATACACTTCTTTTCGGACTTGGAGATTTACAATGTGTCTGTTTAAATATGCACAAAATGGACTTTAGATCTAGCAGAACTGACTTAAAGTGTTACACTATCAAAGTAACGTGTGAAATACAACGTGGCTTAGTTAAGAGATCATGACACTCACATTTCTCCATGGCTGTTTCAGATTTTGTGCCTTATGAGGGCGACTGGTTAGACGTGGAATATTCCAGTGAGCCAGGCATCTCAAACATCAAGGCAATCTCTGCGAAGCCCACCCGTTGGGCTTGCGCGGAAGAGGTAATTTCTTTCCTGTTGCTCCCGTCATCAGTTTCTGCTAACCCTTCCTTTGGTGATAATTTTCGTGCCCAGGATTCTGTTGGGTGTAATGGGAATTCCAGAAAATAGGAAGAAATACATCCTTTGCCAACAAAGGAGCCACTTTTTTTAATTGAAAAGGCAGGACTTCCCAAAGGAAATAATTAGAAAATTATGTAGAGCAAGCACATGATTAAGTCCTAAATTGTGCATTTTACTTGACACCCAAATCTTATCAGAATCTTCCAACAACTGGTGGAAGAAAAAGAATCTTTGTGCCAGAAAACTGTAGGGAAAGAATGAACGGAGCGTGTTGTGGGACTTGAGCTTACCAGCGAATGCTGAGAATGATTTGGGGATTGGAGCCTGAATATGAGCAGGACATTCAGGGCAATAGAGGGCAATGGACATATTTTGGTCATATTTAGAGCAGGACTTCTCGTTAGAGACCCAGGCCTCGTCCCGGGAGAGCCTGATTTCATTAGTCTGAGGTGGAGCGTGGGCATGGGTATTCCTACAAAACACCCCTTTTGTTAGCAGTGGGCCAACAAGGTTGGGGATCATCGATTTGCATCGAAGTGACCTTCACTCATGCAGGACCCACAGTGAGGAGGTGCACAGCTGGTTACAGTGATTATCGGGCTTTTTCATAATCATTTCTGTTATGTATACTCGCAGGTCTGCATTACTAGCGTCCGTGGAAGAAACGGAGTGATAGATAATAATATCTTTTTCACCTTGGATTCTGTGAAACTTCCTCATGGATACCAGCCTCAACTATTTGATACCGTCAGCGTGGTCATGGTGGAGAGCACTCACTTCTGCTATGTCTGGAGAGCGGTTTCCATCATCCCAGCGCAAAAATCGTAATGACAAGCATTTTTATTCTCTGTTTATGTTTCCTCCTATGAGCAGTAAAGGTGCTGGTTTAACTGAAAAGTTTAGCTTAGTAAGCCTAAACAGGATTTTACGTATGACTTTTCTGGCAAATCTAATGGAGATACTGGCTAGTTCAATGGGACCACGAACCCAGCTTAGGGAAGTGCCTTATCAATTAAGAAGCATGCTAAATTAGCTTGCTAGTCACTGGAGGAAAGGAGTTCTTAATTAACATGAACGCTGTCTCTAAATTTGAATTCCGTGTTTTCTAGTACCAGCCCCGGATCCCAGGATGACGGAGGCCTGGGATGGCCTGAAACGAAGTGTCACAGTCAAAGCATTTAACTGAAAAGGCAGCAGGGACAGCATGTTAAAGGCATGATTTGAAGTTACAATTTGACTTCACTTTTGAGTCACCCCTATGCTGTCCGTTTAATCTGTATTGTGCCGTAGCCTCTTTCATCTTCTGTCACCTACATAATTTGCGACATTAATTGTTCCCTATGTTCCTTCTTCCCCTTGCTAGAATGTAAACTCCACAATGGCAGGATGCCTTTTGGTCTGCTTTTTTTTGTTTTGTTTTTGTTGTCTTTATTTATTTGTTTGTTTGTTTGTTTGTTTGTTTGTTTATAGCATCACAAAGCACTTAGAAGAGTGCTTGGCAGGCTCAAGGTGCAGATAAAGTGTTATTAAGTTCAGTGACTGAATGATTGGACCAACAACGATGTTTAGCTGTGCTTCATTCATCACTGGTTCTTTAGGAATAAAACTGTTGAGCAACGCATTAAGTCCTCTGTTGAGTTTTTTTAACAACACCAATAACCATAAAAAGCCGACTCTGCTGTACATGAGCCTCCGTGAGCCTCTTTGTTGCAGGGGTGCAGCTCATGTGCAGACATGAAGAAAGACACAAACACAGAGCCCCTTGAAGCGCAGAGAAGCTGCTTACCCACTGGGAAGGGTTATATAAAATCCCACAAGTACACCCCATGAAACTTCTTGCTTTCGTCTAGCAGAACATTTAGCCAGGTAGCTGTGACCTACGGAGACATTCAGATCTTTGGGCGTAGCTTGAATGTGGTTGTGAACTTGCACCGAGTCCTGTGATTCATAATTCCACCATTACCCCCAGTCCTTGAATAAACAGAGTTGTGTTTTCACTTTCCATTACAGATCCAGTGAGACCTCCCAATCATCCAGGGGTTTGTTTCCTGCTTGATAAGAAGAGTGAAGATCTTGTAGAGTTCCCATTTTCACTCGTTGGTTCACTCCACGAAATCCTACTGATTCTCTTTTATGTGCCAGGCACTGTTGAGGCTCCAGAGTTATAGCCTTAACCCAAAGGACAAAATTCCAGGCCCTAATGGAACTTGTGTTCTTTTAATGCCCCCACACCCCCCACCGTCCTCAGCTTCCTGACCCATGCAGCAGAGCTCCTGTGATAGAAAGGGGCAAGCGGGGGCTGTGGCAGCACCAGGTCCCTGTGAATGTCGTCATTTAAAAGCAGCTCCAGACCCCGTGGAATTACAGAGCAGTCCACGTTGGACTTGAGAGATGCATGGGCCATGACTTCCACTACCTCGCCATTTAATTCTCCAGTTTGGTTGATGTGGAAGAATGTTCTTTGGCAGTTATAATGCATTATGATAAGCCCGGTCAGGTGGTGATTCAGTCACAGCTGCTGTTTCACAAACTTCCTCACTGGATTGAGGACCACCTGGGAGGCAGCAGTTCAGCAGGGTAGGGGGAGGGGATTAGATAAATTTCCTTTATCTTCTTTCAAATAGCAAAGCCCAGAACCACTTTGCTTTCATAAAGCAGACCAAGTGGCAGTACACTTTGAATATTTTGCCTCAAGGATTTGTTAACTCCAAGGCTCTTTCCCACAATTCAGAATGGACAGTCCTCGATCACCTCACCCTCGTCGCACGTGTGTCTCTTAAATGGGTGACCTCACGGCACAAGGACAGAAGGACTCAGGGAGCCGGAAATAGTGCTCTCGGTCGGAAATGTGCTTTTTCCCCATGGGAAAGAATTAGCTGGAAAATGCAGGGACCTGTCACCACGAGTTTCTGGGGCTCCAGTGTTCTGCCATGGAGCTTCCAGCTGGCACGCTGTGAAAGCGTTGCAGATGTGCTGATATCAGATGCCTCTCAGCTCTCTTAGGGACACATGCTATGAAGAAAATGAAATAAGATCATGATTTTTACCTGGGTTTGGCAAACTATGGCCCTCGTGCCAGTTCTGGCCTGACGCCTGCAATGGTTCTCCAATCGTAAAGTTCTATGTAGGCACCCGGAGCCTAATGAGGGCCCGATATATTGATCCTAGTGTTCTTGCCACCATGATTACACCTACTGTTAATAAAAGAGGCACCTTGAGGTCTCTCATTGTGACTGTGGTTTCATCCTCTAACCATTCATAGCTTTCATGGGTTCTGGTCGTCATTTCACTCCTCTTGTGGGATGCATAAAGCTTTAAGCATACATCTGCCAGTGGGATATGCTCTGTGAATGTAACCAACTCCTCTTCCTTATGCTTAGTGTGTGGTTCTCTGTTTTGTCAAAATTCCAAATTCTACCTAATCAGCCATATGTACAAGGATCTCTGTTCCCTTGGTGTCGGAGAAGAATACAGTGTTTCGAATTGAAGCTCTTGTATCTATTGGCAAACTTGTGGTTGCACGTGTACCTGCAGTACCAGCCCAGGAATATGGAGTTTAGTCTATGCTTTCCTCTCTTTCCACCTTTCCACCTTTCCACGTGTGTTTTTCTTTCTCAGCTTTGGAGAACCCTACCTTCCATTATCCTCTGTGTATTTACTTATTTGCACAATCCTGCTGTATGTGCTCTGCTACTGTGGGCAGCTTTCCATCTGTACTCTAACTCCCTCTTCTCACGGACCCTGGCTTGCAGGACGCCTCCTTGGAACCATTTGTTTGGCAGGCTCCCTGCCTGCCTTCCTAAGCTTGGGTGCCCTGCTCTCCATGGAAGGGAGGGCTAGAGAAAAAGGTTCTCTGTTGCCTTTGGAACTCCTCACAGAACTGACTTTTATCCGCTGCTTCATCATAATAGTCACCCGAGACAGCCTGGGTCGAGTGCTTCGTAAGTTTCTTTCCAGAGCGGCTGGCCTGGCCAGAAGAGTGAAGTGTTGGGCTTGGTTAAGGGCTGTTAGTCTAAACTTCCACAACTGAGGACTCCAATCAGTTAGCACTCATGTTGGTTTCATAAGGGGGAGGAAGAGAGTTCACCCTGCTGGGGCAACCTCATTCTACATCGGTTTTGCTTCCCGAGAGCATTGTCCCAGTTAACCCTAAATGATGTGGATTAGAAACTTCATTGCCCAGATCCTCTGGATAGTTGAAGGACTACTGTATAAACAAAGGGTGAAAAGCATAATCTTATCATTGAAGTGTTATTGAAAGGAAACTAAAGGTGGCCGGGTGCCGCGGCTCACGCCTGTAATCCCAGCACTTTGGAAGGCCAAGGCAGGCAGATCACCTGAGGTCAAGAGTTGGAGACCAGCCCGGCCAACATGGTGAAACCTCGTCTCTACTAAAAATAGGAAAAAACAAATTAGCCGGACCTGGTGGCGTGCGCCTGTAGTCCCAGCTACTCGGGGAGGCTGAGGCAGGAGACTTGTTTGAACCCAGGAGGCGGAGGTTGCAGTGAGCCAAGATCACGCCACTGCAATCCAGCCTAGGTGACAGAGGGAGGCTCCATCTCAACAACAACAACAACAAAAAAGGAAACAAAAGGCGCAAGTTATTTGGACAGCATAAAGAACATGCCTCACAGCGGTTAGGGGGACTGGACATGTGTTCCCTTAAATTCCTTTGTTGAAGCCGTAATCCCCAATGTGATCATATATGGAGGTGGGGCCTTTGAGAGGCTATTAGGCTTAGATGGGGTCATGAGAGTGGAGCCCCATAATGGGATCAGTATCCTTAGAAGAAGAAGAAGAAAAAGAAGGAGGAGGAGGAGGAGGAGGAGGAGGAGGAGGAGAGGAAGAGGAAGAGGAAGAGGGAGAAGGAGAAGGAGAAGAAGAAGAGGGAGAAGAAG